GATTAATTAAAAATTTAATATCAATCAAAAGCCCAGTGCTTTCTCAAGGCAAACTCTCTTTTCTCTGATATTATTGGTGCTTCCACTGAGAGAGCCTTGAAACATTGAATTCTCTACAAGTCAAGATGGGGGATTCTAGATTTGGAGAAATAAGTGGTGGTGGAAGTCAAAATTTTGCTAAAGATTTTTTAAAGGCCATGCAAATATTTATGAATCAACAAGCCGTAAATAGAATAGGACAAGGAGCTATCAAAGCTTTAAGAAGAGTAATTAGTAAGATTGGAAGATTTGATGGTAAGCACATCATGGACTTTCTCAGAATTTATGCTTGCGAGATGGAAATCTATCAAGTGCATGAGAATAAAATAATTGAAACCTTTGATTTGGCAATTGTACCAGAGATAAGGGAGAGAGTTAGGCAACTTCATGAAAAAACCCATGAGAATATATGGACCAAGTTTGAGGAAAGACTTCGTGACGAATATTTTCATGAAGATACTGAAAGAATATGAAAGAGAGTATTTCTTGATTGGATAGAACAACAAGTAGGTAAGCATATGGAGCCTAATGAGTTGCTGAAAGAATTTGAAAAGAAATTTGGGCAACTTCCATTATCTGAGAAGTGTCTTTTGGAGGTTAGAAAATCAGAGTTGTTTTTACAAGCTGCAGATGAGACTTTAGAAGATAGATTGCTTCTACTTCTACAAGATGTAACAATAGAAGGTGGGTTTATAACTAACTGGAGAAGATTAGAAGACGCAATAAGTCTTCACATGCTATTCCTTTGTAATAAGACCTTTAGTCCTCTAAATCAGAAGGTGCCAAAGGATTTATAATATGGTGGATTTGGTGTGATGATCCAAACCATAAGCGTGGAGATTGTAGATCATATGCAGAGGCCATGAAGAATAGAATTATTATCTTTAAGAAAGGAAGAATTAGAGATGCAGCAATTGATGAGGTCTTGAGACCAATTTTAGAAGAGATGGTATGAAAAGGTTGATAGAGGAGAAATTGGACAAATGTAGCTTGTCACGTGGCAAAGAAGCAGAAACTTATAGCATTGAAATAGAGCACAGTAAGATAAAAGCTCCATCACTTGAATCTAAAGAGATAATGGTCCGAGGTGCACAAGTCATCCAGAAGCTAATTGGATGGAATGATGCAACTACCATTAAAGCATATTTGATAAGTAAGCATAGAGAAAAAAAGTCTTATGATGCATTCATAGAAATAAAGAGAGGTAGAAATGATGAAGGAGAAGAGGTAGAAAGGCCAATAATAAAAAAAAAAAAAAAAAAAAAAAAAAAATCACCTATTATCAAAGATTCTTCACCAAAACAAGGACTAGCAAGCCGTACAAGGCAAAGATAAGAAACAGAGCTTTTACCTTCACATCCAAGTAATACACCACTTTCTAATGAAAGGTGGGAAGAAAGGATGAATACAGAGAATAGTAGAAAAAAAGAAGATGGGACAAAGTCAAAGCCCAAAGTACAAGCCTACAAATTACAATCAGATATTGAATCTTCCATTGATATGAAGGATATTTTGGAGGAAAGGTTTTTGGATGCTAAGATCAAATTTACTTTAAGAGAAGCTCTTAATATTGCAAAAAAAGACTTTCATGAGCTCATTATTGATGTGATCAAAAGAAAAAGGTAGATGATAGTAGAAGCAATAATGGTGAAGGCATTAGACACTTTAATAAGTGAAGAAGAGGAAGAAGAGATTGGTCAAGTATTTGCATTAATGTATGAACCAAAGAAGAAGTATGAAGACTTTTCTAGTGAGTTGGATGAAATTTTGAGTAAAGAAATGGAAGATGAAGTCTTGCAAATGTTTATTTGTGCTCATATAAACAAAAGCAAAATAAAAGGTATATTTGGCAAGAACCAAGAAGATGAAGAGATTGTTGAAAGAAGAACGACTCATGTCATAAGTATTAGAAGACTTGAAAAGGAGGCAAGGATGGCACATTATAGAAAAAGTGAAGGTGAAGCATCTTATTTTTATCCATTTTGGTCAAGAGCCACCACGGAAATACATGTCAAGCTTGGAGGTTTAGATGAGCCAATTTTAGTTCTTAAAGGACCATGGTTCTGAGATCAACATCCTATCTAGGAAGACTTATGAGAAAGAAAAATGACCCATTGATACTAACTATGGATGGATATTGAGAGCTGTTAACAATGAAAAAGGAATTCTTTTTGGTACTTGTCCACCAATAAAGATGAAGGTTGGAGATGTGGAAGTAGAACAAAATTTCTTCGAGCAAAATCAAGGAAGTTATTTAATTATTTTGAGGCATCCATACATCACTGCAACAAAGATGGAGACCAAGGTATTAAATGATGGCTCTCACTATGCCAAAATTCAAAGTCATGATGGAAAAAGATTAGTTCAGTTTCTTATAGTGAGACCAAATCATGAGAGGCATAGAGATCAGCTTAGAGAAACTCCTATGCATTGTGAGCATGATGATTTACTGGATTTTTTAGACTGCACATGTGGAATATGGGGTGCCTTGAATGCAAAGAAATTATCTACTATTGCATGTCCTAATGTACAAAGGAATGGTTGTAGGATTTGGAATTTAATCGAAAAAGGACTCGTAAGTTTTAAGAAGGTTGAGGATTTGAATTTTAAATATAAAAGATCAGTTAAGAAAATTGAAAAAAAATTAAAAAAAATGGATGTAATTTTGAGTGATGAATTCATTTCTAGAATTGTTGAGGAAGAAGGATTTTCAAATGATATTTTACAAGTTTTAGAGACTTTACAAGGGAAGAAGACTACATCTACTAATGAGATGATAGAAATTCACTTAAGAAGCCTATATGAAGAAATATTAAAGACAATTGCTAATGCAAGGTTGATTGAAAGTTATGGCTTAGAAACTGATGCTATAGTGAATATCAAGTACAAGACTATAGCAAAGAAGGTGAAACTAGTGGCAAGACAACTACCGCTAGACTCTGAAGATCATATTAAAGAGGCTGAAAAAGACCCTAAATTAAGGGAAATTAAAAGGATTGGACACATATTCAAAGAAGAAACATTGGCCAAACTAAAAATTGGAAGAAGTGAATTTTTGAAAGAACCTAAAAAGAAAAGGTTCCAAGAAATGATCTCCAAGCATGGTAAGGCTTTTGTTTCTTCAGCAAATGAAATTGGATGTGTCAATCCAAAGGTTAATGCACCAATAGTCATTTTTATTGTTCTACATGTGCCTTGGGATTTGAAGCCAATTCCTGTACCAAAAGCCTTGCTATCTAAATTGGTAAGTTTATTGAAAGAAAAGTTGCAAATAGGAATACTTGAGCCATCAATGGCTCTATATTCTAATCGATAATTCATGATATCTAAGAAGCCTGGAGCTTTGAGATTCATTCAAGACATGCAGCCAGCCAACAAAGTGACAATTAGAAACAAGAGATCAGGGCCAATTGTACATGAGGTTGCTGAGGCTTTTGTAAGGCATGCCATTTATTTTATTGGAGATCTTTACTCCGGTTATGATCAATTTCAACTTGTATAAAAAAATAGAGATTTAACAACTATAAAAACTCCTTTAGGACTTGTGAGGATGTGCACTTTGCCTCAAGGTGTGACAAATTCAATGGCTCATATGCAAAATGCTATGAATAAAATCTTAAGGAAATTTGTATCTGAGGCTTGGCATTTGATGTTTATTTCTACTGTGTTTAATATCATGGAAAGGAATAAAAACAGAATTATAAATAATCTTGAAGTATTTTTTATCTTATGATTAATTGAAAATTTAGTGTCAACCAAAAGCCCATCGCTTTCTCAAGGCAAACTCTCTTTTCCCTGATAGCAATATTCTATAGGACCTCCAAAAATGTGTTGACTTTGTAGGACAATTTTCTTAACGTATAAGACAAGTTTTTTATATGAATTCCACATAGTTAGCTTGTTCCACAAGCTACTAACACATATGGTACATGGTTAGTTTGTTGATGAAGTTTCTAACCTACCAATCAATTACAAATATATATAAAATCAAAAAAACATCTAAGAAGCTTTCAAGAAGCTTTTTTAAAAGGTATTATAAAGTTAATCTACTTTTACTTACTTTTATCTACTTTTATTTACTTTTATTTACTTTTAATTATTCATATCATTAGGTAACAATTATAGTAGATATATATTTGTAATAGAGTGAGACATTTTTAATCATGATTCTTTTTGTTCTTACTTGTCTTGCTATAATAACTATGTGCCATGCTTATAAACTTCAAGCCATGGGAAGCAAACTCTACAATATGTAGTTTTGTTTCTTTGGATACTCTTAATACAGATCTTCAAAAGATTTGGCGTCTCCAAAGTCTAATTGTGTATGATCTTATTAAGAAATTATTTTAATTTTTAATATTTATAAATTTATCTCTTATTCCTAGTTTAGTTCTATTTTTGTGACAATATTTTTGTAGTATATTTTGTGGATTTTAACCAAAATATATTATTGTGGAGTTACTTTTTCAATTGTGTGATTTATCATTTTAGAATTGTTTAACCAATTCTAAATAGATGGACAAAAAAAATAAACAATGTTGGTCAATTCTTTTTTGCATTGGGTAGGAGTTTCGATGTGGTGGATTACTTCTATTTATTACAATTTTCTAAAACCATCTCACATATAATTTTTCATAAATCAAGAGTTTTAAATATGATACTATAGCAATTCTAAAACAACACAAGTACGTGTTGTTATAAATTAACAACCACATACATTAAATATATGTATGTAAGTATGTATACTTATACACATCTAAAAGCTCACTTTTGCAACATTATTTTATTATTAGTTTTTATTGGAGATGTACCCAATCTGTATTATAAAACATTTTTGCATATTTTGGTGACAACGGCATGGGTTTAGCTAGGGTGGGAGCGTGAGGTGAGAGCGTGAGGTGAGAGCGTGAGGTGGGAGTGGAGGCCGCGTGGGGGCAGCGTTTAACACCAAATCGCGCGGCTCCGGGCCGCGAGATGCCGCGACGGGGGCAGAGCTGCGCCTCACTGTGTCCGACGAACTGGCCTCGCATTTCAGCCCCACGACTTGAGAGGATTGATGAGTGCCAGCAGAATCGTCGTTGACAATTTGTTTGTGAGATTGGTTGCCAATCCTCTGCGCTTCACTCGGCGCAAACCCAACAATCGGTTCGTGCTCTAGCCCAATTTCATTCTTGCTGCTGCCTTGTGGGATCTTATGTCTTCTGTTGCTTTTGGTCGCGAGGCTTCGCGTGGGGTTGTTGGATAGTTTTTACGACCCTTGCGTATGGAACTGAGCTAATAATCGCATTTTGTGAGTGTCTTGCTGGCTGTCTGGAGAATTTTGATGGATTGTGAGCGCGTCGTCGTCGTCGTCTTCGTCTACGTTTGTCTTCATAATGCATTGATCAAATGACACAAATGTGGGTTGAATTGGTGTTTGGTTTCTGCCGCAGTGATGTAGTCCCTTGGCTTAGTATCTGTGGGACGTCGGTGTGAATATTAGTGACTATCGCAGGGTTTATGTGCATGGTTCATCTTTACTTGAACCTGCCACTAAACGAGTTCTCCTTTCTGCTATGTGATACAGACTATCTGTCATTTGAGGCCGCAAGTGTACATATATATAAATATAAATAAAGAGAAAGCAAGAAGACTCCGGTTTTCTTAATACAAAATATCGAGATGGAAGGAATGCTACTGAAAACCTCGGTGAATTCCTTCATTTGTCACCCTCAGGCTGGCCAGCAGCGGAAGAACCGTTGCGATGTTAATAAGCAAGTGGCCCCTCACTCCTCTTTTACTTCCACGACTATTACGCACTCTTTGACATCTCGTCCCGCAAGTTCACAATTCAACAGGTGTTCCATGAGAAGAGCAGCAGGAGTGGTGCATGCTGCTGTACAGACCGGCGAGACCGTTGATATGTCTGCTTTTGATGGTATCACCATATACGCCACGGACGGCCAACCTGTGAAATTCTCTGAGCTTTGGGATCATCGCAATGTAAGACTCCCTTGAATTACTCAACTTCACTAACTTACTTCAGTTACAATCCTAATAGAAAAGCAGGATGTTTGAGCTTGACAGGGTAGTGGTTTTCCCCCTTCTGGCTGCAGCTTTGTGTATGATTCTGACTTAAATGCTACGGAGTGCAGGGAAAGGCAATTGTGGCATTTCTGAGGCATTTTGGATGTCCTTTTTGGTAAAGCTCCACCCAAGGTTCTGAATGCCTTGTGTTAATATAATTTTAATATTTATTTATTTGAATTACTTTTTGTCACGTGCAATAGAAAGCAAGGGACAATCTCTTACCATCAGTTCTGTGCAGCTGGGAGTTTGCAGCAGCTCTTCGGGAAGCAAAGCCTAAATTCGATGCTGCTGGCTTCAAACTCATTACGATTGGCGTAGGACCTTCAAGCAAGGCTCAGGTTCTTTCAGAGAAGGTATGTGATGTGAGATGTTTTTATCCGACTGGTGGGGTTTATCCACAAGATTCAGCGGCTTCTGTTCCATCTTGCTTATTGGGGCAATAGCGATTTATGGTTGCCTGCATATTGAAATTGATGCGGCGGCAATTAATGCGAATAGTTTGTATTGTTCTGATGGCAGCTGCCCTTTCCAGCGGATTGTCTTTACGCTGATCCTGATAGAAAGGTACGTTCTACACTCGCTAATACGTCACGAAATACTGAATAGATTCCAGGGATTAGAAATGACTGCTACTCGCTAATATAACAATATTAGCTATATGGAGTGAGATTTTTCAGCAATTGCCGCTTGAGTTGATTCCTCACACGCTATGCTGTGGTCTTTGTTGTCAGGCTTATGACGCGTTGGGTCTCTACCACGGTGTTGCACGGACATGGCTCAATCCAGCATCAGTGAGTTCAATTGAATCATAGGAATTACCTTTGTCGATCAAGTGTTGAATTAATTGTTGTGAGATTGAGTGGAGTGAAGGTTTCTGTTATAATTGTAGAAAAAAATGATTGACCTTGTTTACTGTCTTACAGATGCAGATATTTACTCGTCTAGATAAGGTGGCGGATGCGGTGAAAGGATGGAACCGCGACGTCATGCCTGACAACACAGCGGCTACTCTCCAGCAGGTTATTTCATTATCCACCTCTAGTTTTATTTTACTTTGTTTTTATTTAAAAGAGTAGTAGGATTGAAGGAGCCTTCGGCGGTAGTCACTGGAGGTTCTCGAAATTGACATGCGACATTGTATTTGCCGAGGCAGGGTGGAGTGTATGTATTTGAAGGTTCCAAGGTGCTTTATGCTCGCAAAGACGAGTCTACTGGTGACCACTCTAAAATTGATGATATTTTAGGCAGTTGCTGCTCAACTGTGATGGCCTGAGGGCAACCTTCACAATGAAAAACAGCGAAGTTTGAGGTTCAAAATATGAAGTAATTTGCCGAAGAGGAGTACTGTACATTGATTTGTACTTAAACAATTAAAAAACTTAAATTGTATCTTTTATATTGGAGTCGCAATCGTTGTTATAAGCTGAAACGTGAAGACTAAGAAGTAACAACAATCCTAATGGTTCTTCCTCTCCTTCGATCCACTAGCAACCTGCTGTCTTGTATTATGATCCTTACAGTGTAGAGTACACACTTTCCCAAGTCGTAGATCATTTGTTTTTAAGTAACAGAGCGCAAACTGCTGAGCTAAATTCAATGAGGCAAGATGAATTTCACTACTGCGATTTGATCTGACCAACTTTTTGGTCTTCAACTTGTACTTCAAAAGTTTTCCTGGACCAGCTTTCCCCGCATTATGACGTAGTATTGTGACTACTTTATTCTTAGTATCTCCTGAAGCTTTGGTTGGTTCTCAATATTTCCAGATAACATTCGTTACAATGCTTAACATGGTGAAAGTTAACAAGTTGGGATTACTTGATCTGCAGAATGTTTATAAAGAATTGTGCCTAGTGAAACACTTATTATGTTAACATGCATTTTAATTTAGGTCAGTTCCATAAATAAACAGATTACTGACAATAAAAATCATTTCAGCAGCATTTTCAGCAGCAATGTCTCTTGGCTAACAAATTATGTTTTCCATTGACCATATGTCAACTATTTATTTGATAAACACATCCTAAGATTTGAGTTCAGTGACACGATAGTTGTCATTGTTTGAGTACAACTTTTCAATGGTGATTGTACAGAGTTAAAAGATTGTTTGGTATACTTGATATAGTAAGTTGGATATTACACAAGAAACTTATCGTAGAATAAAAAAAATTGTATTGATGTTTCATTCGACCTTATAGTTATAAAATGAATCATCAATACAATTTTTTTTTTATAATAAATACATAATAATATCATATAAAGTCATTATGTTATAATTTGCAAATAAAATATTCTATGGATACATTATATATATATATGAAACATAAGGAGGTGTAAACCTTTTATGGATTTAAGAATTTAATTACAATATTTGTCTTCTATTGAACAATTTACACAAGGTAGGTTTATTTTAAAAGGTATATAGTTCCATCTCAAGAAGGAAAAATCTCCTTCCCTTTGAATATTTTAGAAAGAATTTAGGGCGATTATTTAGATAGAGCCCACCATAGAATCTTTTAGAAAAAAAATTTGAGGCAGTTATTTAGGTAGGGCCTACTATGGAACCTTCTAGAAAAAATTTAAGGTGGTTATCTAAGTAGAATCGACTACCTAAGAATATTTTAGAAAGTCTAGGGTGGTAGAACTAAGTATAAATAGGACCGGTTAGGACCTTTTGATGCATCTAGTCATATATGGCTTTGAATCTTTTTTTTTAATACAATTGAATTTTTTATCTTTCTATTTTGTTTTGTTCTGTCATAATTTCAGTTGCCTAGTTTTGTTTTCTTTATCTCATTTTGTTTAATTTTGTTCTAGTCTAATTTGTCCTACTTTATGATGAGGTTTTATGCAGTTGTATATTAAAAGGGTCTTAATCACTTGAGATAAACTAGTCTTATTTCATTGATATGACAGCGAATGTTAGATTATTTATTTTTGGTAGTATATATTGAAACATAGAAAGCAAACTCTACACAAGCAAGTTAGGACCAGCAAGGTTGCACTTCACAAATAGAATGTGGTATGAGATGATTCTTCCCATGCCAACCCTTTTCTTATATACTAGTAGCAAGGTACCATGTGTTACAACCCATATGGGATATCTCTTAGGACCAGCCCTCTCCTTGTATTCTAAGGCACTATAGACCAGCAACTAACCTTGTAGGATATCCCTCATTACTCATATACTCTATTGACCATTAGCAACAACTAAATGAGTTCTTTCCTTCAACACTCCCACTTTGCTACTGGTCAATTAGCTATCAATCCTAATGCCTTACTCAATATGTTGTGTCTCTCTTTCACCAAGGCTTTTGTTAGCAAATCAGCCAACATGTCTTTGGTTTCACAATACATCATATCAATAACTCCCATCTCTATCTTCTCTCTTATAAAGTGGTGTTGAATATCAATGTGCTTGGTTCTTGCATGATGCTTTGGATTCTTTGCAAAAGCCAAACATCCTTGATTGTCACATCTCAATGGAGTGGCTTCCAATTGCACAAGTCCAATGTCTTCCAACAACAACCTCAACCAAATTGCCTCCATTGCTCCATGACTTGCTGCCATATACTCCGCCTCCATTGTGGACCTTGCAATGGTTGGTTGTCTCTTACAATTCCAAGATATGGCTCCCATTCCAACAAAGAATACATAGCCCGTTGTTGATCTTCTATCATTTGTATCTCCAGCCCAATCCGCATCACAATATCCATGTAATGCAATATTATTTCCTCCAAGACATAGTTTATGGTTCAAAGAGCCTTTCAAGTACCTCATGATTCTTTTGATGGTTGCCCAATGCATAGGACCTGGTTTTGCCATGTGTTGACTTACAACACTTACTGCAAATGCAAGATCCATCCTTGTACCCACCATTGCATACATGAGTGAGCCTACTGCTGCCTTGTATGGTATGCCTTGCATTTGATGCTCAACTTCAGCATATTCCTCATCCGTGAGCTTCATCAACTTCAAGTTGGCTTCCAAAGGAGTTCCAATGGGCTTGCAATCTTGCATGTTGAATCGTTTCAATACTTCTTCAATGTACTTGCTTTGACTCAATGTGATGGTCTTTGATACTCTATTCCTTGTAAATTCCACACCCAAACAATAATAAAGCTCTCCCAAATCACTCATTTCAAACTCTTTCTCCAATTTCTTCTTCAACCAATCTAATTTTACCATGGTGTTGCTTAAGATGATTAAATCATCTACATAGAGGATCACAACCAGCAAGAAGTCCTTGGCTTGCAACACATACAAAGAATGGTCAGCTTCACTTCTTATAAAACCTTCCTTCACAAAGAATGAGTCAATGCGTTGATACCATGCTCTTGGTGATTGCTTGAGTCCATACAATGACTTCTTCAACTTGCATACAAGGTTGGATTTGTCTTGATCAATAAATCCTTGAGGTTGCTCCATGTAGATGTCTTCTTCCAATTCTCCATTCAAGAAGGCTGTCTTGACGTCCATTTGATGCATCTCCAAGTCTATTGATGCTCCAATTGCTACTATGGTTCTAATGGTAGTGAATTTGGCCACTGGAGCAAATGTCTCATTAAAATCCACTCCAGCAACTTGTGAGTAGCCTTTGGCAACCAATCTTGCTTTGTACCTCACAACATTGCATATAGCATCTCTCTTGGTTCTAAACACCCACTTACATCCAATTGCTGAACGATTTGGTGGAAGTGGAGTCAACTCCCATGTCTTATTGTCCATAAGAGATTTGTACTCTTTTTGCATAGCAATCTCCCACTTCATTGCATCACCACACCTCATTGCATCACACAAAGTCAATGGATCATCAAGAAGAGCAACATTGGCCTGATCTTCACTTACTTGTGGAAAGATGTGGTTCTTCCACCATTCACCTTGTGGTCTTCTTTCACGTGTTGGATATCTTCTTTCATGCAAAGAAGATGAGCCTTCATGCACCTCTTGCTGCCTTCTATGGCTCATACACTTCCTTCTCTCATTCATTAGTTGATATTCTTCATCTTCATTCTCTTCATTGTGCTTGTTGTATCTTGCTGGAATTGAAGTCTTTATAGAGTTGGGCTCTTCTTCAATGATATCTTCATTTCCATCTTCACTTTGAGAATGCTCTTCTTCATCTTCTTCTTTGTTTGCTGAAATTGAAGATGTGTCCACAAACACACCACTACTCCCACTTGGACACATCTCCCACTTTTCACTTGCACTCTTATACTCCAAGAACTCTACATCACGACTTTTGATGATCTTTTTGGTGTCTAAACACATGAGCCTATATGCCTTGGTGCCTTCACAATATCCAAGGAATGCACATCTTGTGCCCTTTGCATCAAGTTTGCCTCTCATACTATCTGGAACTTTAGCATATGCAATGCATCCAAAAATCCTCATATGAGATAAACAAGGTTTCTTACCAGTCCAAGCTTCTTCGGGAGTCATTCCTTCAAGTGCACTTGTGAGATACCTATTTCTTGTATATACGGCATTTACCACAGCTTCCGTCCAATACTCATATCCAAGCTTTTGAGCATGAATCATACTCCTTGCCATCTCCACAATGGTGCGATTTGCTCTTTCAGCAACTCCATTTTGTTGTGGGGTATAGGGAGTGGAGGTTTGTCTTGCAATGCCTTCATGCTTCAATAACTCATCAAAGTCTTTGGACAAATACTCACCTCCATTGTCCGATCTGAGCACCTTAATCTTGTGCTCACATTGCTTCTCCACAAGTGCTTTCCACTCCTTAAACTTAGCAAAACACTCACTTTTGGCCTTGATGATATAAATCCATACCTTCCTTGAAAAGTCATCAATAAATGTGACAAAATATCTTGCTCCATTCATAGATGGTGTTTTCATGGGTCCACAAACATCCGAATGCACAAGCTCCAGCAATTGATTTGCTCTTGTTGCAATTCCACTAGGAAATGGTGTCCTATGTTGTTTGCCTTGAATGCAACCTTCACAAGATAGATTCATAGTAGAATGGCCAAGGTCTAAGCCACTTACCATGGATTGAAGCTCCTTCATGCTTTTGGCATTCAAATGTCCAAGTCTTTGATGTCAAATGCCCACCTTATCTTCATTTGATGGAAATTCAGCAAAAGCAGCAACCTCTACTCCATTGATGAGCTTGCAATTGATAATATAGAGATTGCCATCTCTAATCCCTTTTGCTACTTCTTTGCCTTCCATGGTTCTCACAAAACATTCATTCATATTGAATTGCACTTTGCACCCATGACTTACAAGTTTACTCACCGAAAGGAGGTTCTTCTTCATCTTTGGCACATGCAACACATCCTTGAGTGTGATCCTCTTGCTTATGCCCTTGACCACTACTTCCACTACAATGGTGCCCATTCCAATGGCTTGTACCATACCATTATCACCTAACCAAACCTTAGTTGCTGGAATTGGTTGATAAGTGTTAAATGAACACTTGTATGGAGTCATGTGTTTGGTACATCCAGAATCCACGATCCATTTGCTCATATCAAGCATGGAAGAAGTTTGTTTTGCCATGAATGCAAAGTCATCACCTCCATGGTCATGAAAAGCATTATTGGCATTCTCTCTTTCTCCTCTCTTTGCCTTGAAACAATTCCTAGCAAAATGCCCTGGTTTTCCACAAATATAACAAGTTTTGGGAAGATTACGTTGAATGGAAGTACTT